AAAACGAAACAAGGTTTCCTTGCCATAGTGAACGACCAGAGATGGCTCCTGTAAACATACGCAAACATGACAGGCTCCACGGCGCCAAACCTTCGCTTAACATCTCCCCACCCTTCTTTCCTCTCATCCCAAATTAAGACAGACCACAAAATACAAAGAATGGGTTCACAACGGTTGGTCTCAGGGCGCTAGGTCGACTCACGGCGGATGTCCACCACAAGCTTGTAGCAAACAAACATGCACCAAGCGTGCAAGGCTTCAATCAGACTGCCGAAAAAAGCAGCTGACCATTGATCCGTAAGCTTGATTGCTTTCGATCAAGAATATCATACAGGCCAAACGCTTTCTCCCCAGCAATTCTCAACCCTGACAGGTTTTCCAAACTTTTTGCTCCTTCAAGAGATCGAAAAAGGTGATTTTTCTGGACACCAGTTTGGGGTCCAAAAACCCTAGCAAAAACCGGTCCCGCCACAGAGGGCCTCCCCAGTAGGGGGGAAGAGGTATAGACCACCCACCTAAGTGGGCAGATATATGGGGACATCTCCTAGGAAAGTGTTCAGTAACAGCAAACGTAGGTGGTGCAAGCGCAACCACCTACAAAAAATAATCGCGCCCTCTTTTCTGCCATTCTCTCTCGGTTTCTCTGTCAGACCGTGAACGTCTGACTCCCACATCAATCAGCTATGCTTTGCCACCAAGTCATCGTTTGTCGCGCTGCAATCAGTTTGAACTAGCCAAGGCACACCTGATCCAAAACTCTGGTAGCCAAAGCAGCCGGCTTCACAATCTCATCAAATTCTCGCTGGGATCCATCCTATCAGGGGGCTACCTTTATCTGGGATCCATCCATTCGAGCACAAACATAATATTATTTGGCAGGTGGGCTACCTGTCATCTACCCCCAAAATAAATAGTTACTCGAATATTATTAATGATGTCCCTGGGGTAAGCCTTGCCCCCCTTACTGGTTCCTTCTACTAAACTCCTCAATGTTTTCAACCTTTTCCATATTTTCCATGGAATAAGTGGCAAATACTGGCAACATTCCCCCCACCTTATTTACTATTTAACAGGTCGTTTAGGGGGTACCCCACCCCTGAAATAATTTTATGGAACATTCCAGTCAATCAGTCGATCTACTAATTATTTCAGAGGTCCCTTAGGCCAGCCCCACCCCTGAAATACGGCGATTGTTTGACATGCCTTGGACAGAGATCTTGCTTGTCCTCAATATTTTCCATATATTCTCCCGGATCGGCTGCCCCATCAAGACAAAAAGACTGGACAGACGTTCACGGTACCGCAGAGAAACCGAGAGAGAATGGCAGAAAAGAGGGCGCGATTATTATTTTGTAGGTGGTTGCGCTTGAACCACCTACGATTGCTGTTACTGCACACTTTCCTAGGAGCTGTCCCCATATATCTACCCACTTAGGTGGGTGGTCTATACCACCCCCCCCCCATCTTATCATGCTGTGTGGTTTATTATTTCTGAACTGTATTACCTCCATAATAATTCTATGCTCAGGTGGGTACACCCACCTAAAAATAATAACTTTATTATTTTGAGGTGGGTGGGAGGGAGGGTGGTCAGCTGGCAGCCCCTATGTTGGGAGTTACCGGCAGCACTTTTGGCTGGAGAAGTGTGGTGGTGATGGTTGCTGATGGTCCAGGGGCAGCTCGCGGGAAGGGACTGGACCAACGGTCGAACCTTGGAGGACCAGTTGGTGGAGGGAAAGCTGTGGGCTGAGGAATCTGTGGATCTGGTCTTGGAAAGCAGGCGGCAGCTGTTTGGGGTGGCTCCATGTGTGTCGTGGGGCACTGATGCTGCTGCATGGCTGAGAATGGAGGGATTTGCTGTGGTGGCCTGTGGCGAGAGCTTCGTGCTCCCCGGTGGGCAGACCCCGAGGAGTGTGGACAGGATGGTTGCGGCGGCGCAGGGCGCTGCCCATGGTATAGGGTACAATTCAAGCGCCACAATTGTGTTGCTCGTAACCACCACGGGCATGTTTTGTGACAAAGCTTCGTGGAGCATCGTGTCTCGCCACGAGGGCTCGGTGCTGCAGCCGGGCGGAACAGGACCTCCTGCGGGGCAATCTATGTGTTCTCAGAGCTTGGTGGCAAGGTTGACAGGAAGGGCCAACAGAGGATCTGCTACACCGGAGCTGGAAGAGTGGGTTCGCGCGGGCGGAGCGACAGGGCGCTGCCCATTAGTTTCACGGCCGGAAGGAAGGGGACTGCGCGGCAGACCTGCCTGAGGGCCGAAGTGGTGGCTGTGAAGGAGAACAAGGACGAGATGTGTGCGGGACAGCAATGGGTCGTGATTGATGACCATGGCGTGACTTGCAGGAGGCAGCCGGCGCTGAGGTTGCTGCAGAGGCTGGAGGAGGTGGCTCATAGAGCGGAGATGTTTCGCGACATGGGGGCTGATATCTGGAGCAGAAAGTGGGGCTCCTAGAAAAAAGTGGAGTAGACAAAGCCTAGAGCATTCCTAGGAAAATGCTGGAAAAGCCTTTGAAATCCCACAAATCCAACAGAAAACGTGACAAAATCTAGGAAAAAGCAAGGGCATTGGCCGGGACCACGCCGCGACCAGCCCGGACACTGGCATAAAATAGGTTAGCAAAAGGTAACAATTTTTTGGGGAAATCTGGTAACCTAAAAACAAGAGGAAACTAACAGAAAACGTGCCGTGGATCTAAACAAAGCCAAGAGCATTCCTAGAAAAAATCAAGGGTATTGGCCGGGAACACTGGCATAAAATAGGTTAGCAAAAGGTTAACAATTTTTTGGGGAAATCTGGGAACTATTCTGCCGTTGTCTAGGGGCTCCGTCTTGTGTTTTGGGTTCCCTCGCTTTCGAAGAAACATGCCGATCCATTTGCCGTGCTCTGTTCTGCCTACTGTGGGGACCCGGGGAGCGAAGATGTCGCCCCACCCCCCTGCCAAGGGTTCAAAACCGGGTCCCGCAAAGGAGGGTGATGGTAAGACCCCAAAGAGCGCTCGTAACCACCAGGGGCATGTTTCGTGACACATCCGTTACTTTCTACACCACAGAAGCGGGGTGTGCGTTGTAGTGCGCGTTCCCTACCGACGAGTCCTCGTCTATGTCCCCCTGTCCAGGCACTCTCTATCGCCGAGGACCCCTCGCAGGCCAAACTGCAAAGGTGGGTTCCACGATAGAGGACGCGCTGTGTCCTGCGCCCCGTGGCGGCGCAGGGCGCTGCCCATGGCCTAGGGTACATTCGCAGTGAAAAAAGATGCGCAGCAATAGGTTAACCAATTTTGGGGGAAATCTGGGAACCTAAAAACAAGAGGAAATACTAGAAAATTCTTGGAGAAGCATCCAGCCAAAAACGTAACAAAATCTAGACAAAGCCTAGAGCAATCCTAGGAAAATGCCGGAAAAGCCTTTGAAAATCCTACAAATCCAACAGAAAACGCGCCGTGGATCTAAACAAAGCCAAGAGCATTCCTAGAAAAATCAAGGGCATTGGCCGGGAACACTGGCATAAAATAGGTTAGCAAAAGGTTAACAATTTTTTGTGGAAATCTGGGAACCTAAAAACAAGAGGCAATGCTAGAAAAATCTTGGAAAAGCATCCAGCCGAAAACGTAACAAA